TGCCGGCTGCTGCCACCAAGACAGAAGTGGCAGATCCCCCAGGCCCTGCTCGGCTGAACTGGTTGGGGTGCCACTTTTCCGGTATCAAGATCTTACCAGGTCAAACAAAGCAAAGGGTATGGAGAATTTGCTGTACTGTCTTTCCACCTTTTCCGTTAACCTAAAACTTCCAAACTAAAAAACTGTATTTTTAAAAAAAGACCTTCTTTGGTTTGAAATCATTCAAGTCTGTTGGAATCTGTTTCCTGGCCCAGGTCTTCTGTAACCTTGCTATTCCTCTCTAACTTGGGTCGTCTGGGTGCTTGTTAGCAATACACAATCTCAGATGTATTAGGCTTCCCAAACAAATAAAACCAATAGAGATAGAGAGAGTGGCATAAGGAAGTGGGGCAGGAAAGAGCGGAGAGAGGAGAGAGACTATAACGCTGGTGCCGACTCACACAATATAGGTCTGCGGACTCCAGACTCAAAAGAACCCATAGCACCAACCCTAGGGACTCAGAGGGGACAGTAGGTGCAGATGACGTCGGAAGACCCTCCACTGGGAGGGTTTTTTGTTTTTTGATTGAATGAGGCCAACCCACATTATGGAGGGCAACCAGAATTACTCAAAGTTCATTGATTTCAGTATTAACCTTATTTAAAATCAAACTCCACGCTGACCCACATAATTACCCATCACCCCAGACCTGCTGAATCCAGTCTACATTTTTAAAGGATCCACCACGTGATCCACCCCATAGCCAAGGTGGGGTGGTCTTTTTCTACAACCTTCAGATCAGAGATTTAAAATAAGCCTTAGTTTGTTGTTTTAACTTGAAATCTTTCCTCGTATTTACTAATCTGGGAGTTGGGGAGGCCTTCAGAAATCCTCACCCTCCTTGCTGGGCAACGGATCCTCCCCTCGGTTCCCCGGTGAACCTGGCCAAAGCTCTCTCCTGGCTTCTGAGTCTTCCCTGCCCACCCCAACTCTCTGAGAGCTACACCTCGCCTCGTTTGCGCGACAGCCTGTATTACCCGTGACAGCTGCCGGACGGCCCGTGGTCCCACCAGCGACCCCAGATCTGCCCCAAGGCGGGTGGCCTCGCTGCCTAGTTTTCCTGGTTTCACGGTCTCGGAGTCAGCAAATGCCAGCACACTCTGTCGGTGTTAAACCGCAAAGATTTAACACACTCGTATACATCAGGGGATTCCACAGTTGCAACCATATGAAAATGCCTACACTGGTTTATTTTTGCCTGTAAAATCGACCATTTCGTATGTCTCAGCATAATATATTCCCGTGCACTGTCCTTCTACCTCGAAGGCTCCTGTAGGGACACGATGCCCTCACCGGGCAGACAGCACAAAGACCACCCGGCGTCAAAAGCTCACGGCCACCGCCCTCCCTGGTCCCCCCGCAGCCGTCCCCTCAATCACGCGCGGTTCAAGTCCCCGCCCCCAGCCCAGGCTGGCTACACGCACTTTACTGGGACAACAGCCCCCGCGCAGGGCGGCGAGGCAGGGGAGCCGGCGCCGCCTTCTTCCCACCAGCCCGCGCTAGCGGAACCCCGCCCAACCCTGACCGTGCTGCCCAAACCTAAGATGGCGGCGTGGGCGGGGCGGCGGTGACACGACGTGTCCGGTGGGCGGTGCCAACCCGGGGGCGGTCCCCGTGCCCCCGCCCGCCTTGCCCCCACCGACTTGGCCCCGGGGCTTGTACTGTGGGGCCCCAGCGCTCCCTTCTGCCAGGTAGCTAGCACACCTGCTCCCCGTAGATGTCATGAAGTCCCCAGGTCCCGGCTTGGCAGTGAACGATGACGAGGAGCACACGGACAGCACGCCCCTCCTGCAGGGCGCCCTGCGGTTCGAAGCCGGTAAGCGGCCCGGAGGTTTAGGGGCTTGGGGCGGGCGCCGGTCCCGGGGCGAGCGCTGAGAGGCTACCTGCACCCCGGGCTGGCGGGGCCAGAGCTGCGAGGGGACTCGAGAAGGGGGCGCCTATTCAGGGCCCCATCAGTCTCTGCCCGCCTCGGAGCCCAGAGCCCCACCAGCGCCCCGGAGTGGGGGACCCTGACCCGGAGGTCGGGCGGGGTCCTCGGCAGGTGCAGCGCGGCGGGGCCTGGCGGGAGGGGCTAGATGCGCTGGCGCCAGACTCGAGTTGGTTTTCCGTAGTGCTGAGCTGGGGACCCCGCGAAACAGGGAACTGGGAGACAATCTCCGCGGCAGTGGGCAACGGGGCGGAGCGGGGACCCCAGGGTGAGAGCGAATTGGGGAGGATCCGGCAAATCAGTTGGCCGAGGGCCGGCGGGGCCGCTCCGTCTCCTACCCTGTCACCGCCAGGTTTCCGCGACTGCTTATCCGCCAGCACATGATCTGGTCGCTCCTCGGGTGGGAGCGGAGACAAAAAAAAGACTGACGTGAGCACTTGTGAGTATGCGGAGGGCAGTTTCTTGCATGACCCAGCGAATATCTTGATCTTGTGCAGAGGAGACTAAGATATTGCAGACATTTCCTTTTTTCCCGTCTAGACGTCCAGTTGGAGTTAGGAAACAGTTTGATTATCCTCAAGATAGGATATCTATAGAGCTCTAAGGTAATTTGCCAGAGGTCCTGCAAAAAACCGAGAAGGAGGTGCTTCACAAAGCATCTTCCCTGCTTTGGGGAAATTAAAATACTTTGTTATTTCAGTTTGTAATGTAACTTCCTTCAAAGTAGTGCAAGTTAAAGAGCAAGTTAGTCTGAGTGCATTCTGCAGTTTCAGAGATGTATGCATGAGAGCTGAATTGCAAGTTTGACTTTTGCTGACCAGGAACTGTATAGTTTTCTGTTATCTTTGTCATTTGTTTTTAATGTTACCAGCTGGTGGCAGCACAGGTGGCAACGTTATGGCTCCATACAGCCTCTGGGAGTTCATTTTAATCAATGCTCAGTCTAAATACTGTACCATAGTGAGGTTTCAACTGGGAATCATACTTAGTCCCACAAACTGATCTTTTCTTGTTTCACATACTGTTAAAATCTTATATTTCTTTGCTATAATAAAGATCTTTAGGCTCGGAGCCTGTGGCTCAAGCAGCTAAGGCACCAGCCACATACACCTAAGGTGGCAGGTTCGAATCCAGCCCGGCCCGCCAAACAACAATAATGGCTGCAACCAAAAAATAGCCGGGCGTTGTGGCGGGCACCTGTGGTCCCAGCTACTTGGGAGGCTGAGACAGGAGACTCGCTTGAGCCCAGGAGTTGGAGGTTGCTGTGAGCAGTGAAGCCATAGCACTCTACCCAGGCAACAGCTTGAGGCTCTGTCTCAAAAAAAAAAAAAAAGATATTTACTAATTCAAACTAATACATTCCTTTTGGAAAGATGTTTGGAGAACATTTAGGGATGTAAAAATAGACCTGCCATTCAAGCCTACAATTCCTCTACTAGATATATATCCAGAAGGTCAATATCACATTATAACAAAGATATTTGTACCAGAATGTTTATTGCAGCCCAATTCATAATTGCTAAGTCATGGAAGAAGCCCAAGTGCCCGTAGACCCACGAATGGATTAATAAACTGTGGTATATGTACACCATGGAATATTATGCAGCCTTAAAGAAAGATGGAGACTTTACCTCTTTCATGTTTACATGGATGGAGCTGGAACATATTCTTCTTAGCAAAGTATCTCAAGAATGGAAGAAAACGTATCCAATGTACTCAGCCCTACTGTGAAACCAATTATAGCCCAAAAATATGGGGAGAGGGAGGGAAGGGAGAGGATGGGTGGAGAGAGAGTATTCGGTGAGACCACACCTATGGTGCATCTTACAAGGGTACATGCAAAATTTACTAAATGTAGAGTATAAACGTCTTAACACAATAACTAAGAAAATGCCATGACGACTATGTTAACCAGTTCAATGAAAATATTTCAAATTGTATATAAAACCAGCACATTGTACCCTATGACTGCATTGATGTACACATCTATGATTTAATTTTTTTAAAAAAGGCATTTCCTAGAACCAACTATATTCTGGAAAATATATATAATCAAACTTTAACCCAGTCAAGGCTCTGCAGCTCATTCCTATAATCCTAGCACTCTGCAAGGACAAGGTGGGAGGACTGCTTGAGGTCAGGGGTTGGAGACCAGCCTGAGCAAGAGTGAGACCCTATCTCTACTAAAAGTAGAAAAAAATAGCTGGACATGGTGGTGCTGGGCTTGTAGTTCCAGCTATTCAGAAAATCCAAGAGTTTAAGGCTGTGGTGAGCTATGATCATACCACTGCATTCTAACCAGGGCAACAGAGTAGCACTCTGTGTGAATAAAAAAATTAACTCAAATGTTAAAAATTAATTGTCAGGAAAATGCAGATGAAAACTACAGTCAGCCATTTTTGCACTCCCTACAATGGCTAAAACCAAAAAGGCTGTGAATACCAAATGTTGGTGGGGATATGGGAGAACTCTAGTAACAATGCAGAATGGCCCATCTTTGGAAAATTACTAGGCAGTTTCTTTTAAAGTTAAACATACATCACCGTATGACCACACAATGTTTATAGCAGCTTTGTTCATATTGGTCAAAAACTGGAAATGACCTAGGTAGCCGTCCACTGGTGAATGGATAAACTGTGATATATCTGAACAATGAAGCATTCCTCAGTAATAAAAAGGAACAAACTATTGTTTGTTCACAAACACTACAACTTGAGTGAATCTCAGAAACATACTGAGCTAAAGAAGCCACCAGCTTAATGTATATGATTCCACTAATATGAAGGTCTTAGAACAAGCAAAACTAGCACTGTACGTAATAACAGAAAGGATCAGTGGGTGCAGGAAGAGTGGGCAGAGAGAATGGTCTAGAGACAGGAACCAGCCTACTTTGGGGGGTGACAGAGAAGTTCCACATCTTCATCGTGATCGGGATGGACAGTTGTGTACATTTGTCATGTAAATTACACTTCAAGACAGTTAATTGAAAAAGAAAAAATTAGCTCATAGCATCACTTGTACAAGCCATCCCTGCTTAATTTATAAGTTAAATGTGTGGATCTTTGACATTAGCCCTGTTCTTCCTGGCTTGAAGTGGCCACCTTCACTATAGTCATTTCTTCTTAGTTTCCCTGTTTACAAACTCACTGGAGAGCAAGTGAAGTGGAAATAGCAGCAACACATTATATTTGCCACTTAAGTTATGATAAAGGTTTTATAGAGGAGGAACCTAATGTTACAGGGTCAGCAATATTCTAAATTAAGTCATGTGTCGGAGGCATCTGCGCAGGACAAGAGGAGAAGTGAAGTGAAAAAGACAGAGACAGATGTAACATGTTTATAGAAGTACCAGGGGTTACCTCAATTACCTCTCAGCAGTGCCTGGGCCCAGCTAACTAGCATTAGTTATCAATAACGTATGATCTAATAGGGGAAAACAAGAGGACCCTCAGACATATTTTTTAAAAGACGAATTTATGTTGTATGTATTTTGTTTGCATGTTTAATAAGGTATAGATATGTGCAAAAAAATAATAATAATAAAATAAAAAGAACTTTCCAACCAGATTTTTAAGTTTGGGCTTTAGCCACCCTTAAAAGTTCCCTTTCCGTACACTTAAATGGACCTTACTTATCTTTTATGTTTGTTTCTGGTATGAGATTACCTTATCTATGCCTAAGGATATAGTTCGTTTTGTTTTTCAGAAGAGAAAGGCTGATAAAATGTCAAAATCATAAACTTTTACAACAGTAAAAAGGCCTCAAAGACTACCATCTAGGGGAGGGTCACTTAGGTGCAGGCACGAGAGAGGTTAACGACCCAAACTGCGCAAGATTACACATGATGACAGTAAGGCCTGGCCTGAGTTCTCCTGGATGTGAGTTCTGTCCTCCTTCCTGGACACAACACTGCCACATTTACATGACAGTCGAGAAATGTCTACTTGCAAAATGCTTTATCATTTTCGCTTGGCCCTTCAAAAGTGTTAGCTTCCCACCCCACCATAAATAAAAGGACATGGTTTTAAATTATACAGTGCTTCTTTCTTTGTTAAGAGAGCTAAAGTTAAAATGTTTGCTGTTTAAGAATGAATATTTCCCAGTTTGCTATGATTTGATAAAATGCTCAGCAAGCCAGCTTTAGTTTTTCTGTCCAGCCTTTGCTTCCACTGAGCCCCAGGGAAGTCGGAGATGCCCCTGGGGGAGGGAGCCTGGCTTATGCTGATGATGCCTGTAGGTTTTCTGCCTAATTATGTAGAAGAAAGGGAGAAAATTAGGTGAAGAAGAGCAAAGCTTCCCCTCCCACACATAAACCTTTGGCATTCCACCACCATGGAAAGTTTACTTTGTTAGGGCATCTAAGATGTTTCTCTGTGCGGGAAGAGAGAGCATAGTTGTGGAGACAAGTGCCTAATTCCCAGTCACAGCTCCACTAACTACTTAGAGTTTTACCATGTTACCTAACCTCTCTGTGCTATCTTTATGTCTCAATGAGGGAAAATAATTTACTCAATAATAGGGTTCTTGTGAGGATTAAATGAGCTAATGGAAAGTACTTGGAGCCTGGCTGACATACAGCAGTGGTTGCTATTACGGTCGTTCATTGGCAGCCGCAGCAGCCTCAAAGGCCATTTTGGGGTGGCTTTGAGCTGGCATTCCTCAGCTATGCATGGAAAATCAGGGCCCTGTTCTTCACTGTCACACTCTTTTAGAACTTGTGCTTTTCTAGCTTATCATACCTGTCCTTTGTTGTGGTTGATTTATTTTACTCTTCTGTTAAAGGAGAGGCAGGATTTACACCCAAGCTTCAGTTACTAAGGTTGAGTTTCACAGAGATGCTTTGTGTGTGAATACAGGCAAATGTGATATACGGGGTGCAGGTACTGCGT